TAAAGCGGTGCGCTCGCGGAAACACTGCGGTGGAAACGAGCTACGAGCACTACGGCGGTCTCCTCCTTCGCAATTAGGGCCGGAACACTGGGGAAGAGTGTGCTCGTGGAAAACGGGGCTAAACGGAGCACTGTGGCGGCCGGATAATTATCTGCCGCGTCGATTTACCCTAGAGATGCTAATGAAACGACCTGTATATTGCGAACGGCGAATGGATTGCGAGCGGATCGACGGGGGAACATTAAAGCCCACTGTTCCGCAAGCACGTGCTTCAACGACGCTCGATCTTCTGGCAAGATTTTGTACGTAATGCTCGACACTTCTGCGCGAACATTGTCTACTACCTTCTTCGTTTCGATTACTTTTGTAGATCTTGTTCGTACTGAATCTACGTTACTTTTGTACGAAGATTTCTCATGTACTAAATGTCTCTGTTACTTTTGTACAAAGATTTCCTACGTACTTAATGTCTGTTATTTTTGTAGGATGATCTTTGTACATATTAAATCTCTGTTACTTTTGTACGAAGATTTTTCACGTACTAAATGTCTGTTACTTTTGTATGAAAGTTTCCTATGAATTTAATGTGTGCTACTTTTATACAAAGATTTTCTACTTAATGTTATTTTTGTACAAGATTTCCTACGTACTCAATGTCTGTTATTTTTGTAGGATGATCTTTGTACATACTAAATCTCTGTTACTTTTGTACGAAGATTTTTCACATACTAAATGTCTGTTACTTTTATATGAAAGTTTCCTACGAATTTAGTGCTACTCTTATACAAAGATCTTCTACTTACTTGATATATGTTATTTTTGTATAAAGATTTCTTACTTACTTAATATATGTTACTTTTGTACAAAGATTTCCTACGTACTTAATGTATGTTATTTTTGTACGAAGATTGCTTACGTACTTAATGTTTTTTACTTTCATACGATAATTTTCTGCGTACTTTTGTTAGAAAATTTTCGAATAGTAACGAGAATAACACATATTCTGCATTGCTAAACAATGAACGAGGTGAATGGAACACCCTGTACTGTAACGTAGACCACTATACGGTAGAATAATCAAGATGCCTTATTTCTGCTTTACATCAAAATGTTATACAGTTAAATAACGATCACAGAAAATGAAGTGTCCAGTAGTCAGACAATTATCGAAGCTCTTGAAACTATTTCACAAACGAATGAATCAAATGAAGCACAACCTGAAAAATAAAAACAGTCGGTACAATTTACTTCTGCTTAACTTTACGAACTAATTTTAGAATATTAAACCTATCGAGTATGGTCGGTTTTATAATATTTTATTTTAACGTTGGAGAAATTACAAAGACTCTTTCGCAGAAAATTTGGTGAATCAATTTGGTGATCCAAGCATAGATTATAATACAAATATCGGAAGGTCTAAGAAGAGTAAATTCTCTCCAATCGTCCCTCAGCTTCTAAAGAAAAATGGGCAATTTGGGGAGAGGAGATTCGATTATTCGAGCCTCGCGGCTCGTTTTTACATTCGGCGATTGGCAGCAATCATAAAAGCAAGCCGCGAGGCTCGAATAATCGTATCTCTTCTCAAATTGTCCATTTTTTAACACAAGCTGAGGGACAATTGGAGATAATTTACTGCAGATACAATCTTGTTCTTACAAAGCAATACACTTTGCAGTTAACTTCTTTAGCGTTAACGAAGCTAGCAAACGCGTGACACGTGTCCACGTTTAATGGAAGAAGCTGTACATCGGATAGAACCGAAAGAAAAAGATCCGGGCGAGTTCCACTAATCTCAGCGGTTCTTTTATTTCTCGTCGCCGAGCTGCTCTCATGGTTGAAGTTCGCAGTGGGTGTCAGCCGCCGAGAGAGAGAGAGAAAGAGAGCGAGAGATAGAGAGAGGGAAGGAAGAAGGAAAAAAAGAGTAGGAGACCACGGGACCGATCGAGCTTATATTGGCGAATTCCGGCGCGGAATGGCGGCTTGTTCGCAAGAAGGAGGCGAGCTTTTTTTCTCTCTCTCTCTCTCCCGCGACTTTCTCAGCGCGGATCAAGACGTGACGTATCGTCGAATTCTCGTTCTCGAGCCAGGGTGCGGGGGAGAAAGCGGAACAGATTCTTCTCGCCCCGGTCTGTTATTTCGTCAGGCTTACGGCCTAGCGTTGCGCGTTCCTGCGCCGCGGCGTCTGTCAGTTTTCACGATTGCCTGGGAACGGCTGGCTGACAAGTGACAGGCAACATCTACTTGTGTCAGACAGGGCGCGCGGGGCGTCTACGAAATCGTGATACAACCGGGAACCTAGATAATCTTTCGTGGAACAGAAATAACTCGGGGATATCAAATTTATTCACGTGTCTCCGGGATGATTGCGTTCGTGGAGGGTGCGGAGGAACTGGCCAAGTTCTGCGAGCAGTATAGCCCGGTGAAATGTCAGGCATTAAACATTCTTTTCGGGAAAAGTAGTAGCGCAACTCAGCGACTAGTCGGACGCAAAATTTTCGAAAACGTCGTTCATCGACTTTGACAGATTCTCGCGCCCATAACAATTTCGATGCAACATGTAGAACAGAGTGACTAAAAAAACTGTTTTCGAGATCTTTTTAGTCTTATCCCTTTAAATTGTGACGCTTTTAAAACGGTCTTTGAAGTTGGAGATAAAAGCTACGTTTAAGGAATGTTCTCAATCTTTCAATCTTTCAACGTTTCTATTTTTCTGCTTTCATTGGTAGTATGTTACATGCTAAATGGTTTGCATTGGTTTACGTCTGCCTATTAGATCTCTTATTTCAGTTGAGAATTGTCCCGAATCCACATGTGGTATTTAATTAACACACCGTCGAAGTTTAAAGTTAATCGAGCAAGCAGTACTCGCCTTATTTAACTTTAAAGAAATCGGAACTGAAAGTACCGAATTTCCCTAAATTAATTGCCACTTAAGCGAATAGCTTAAGCTATCTTAAGCTAGCTATTTGGTACTTGTACTTTTGTATTTTTGTATCGTACTTGTACTATTCGTATTTTTATACGTATGAAATATATTCCCATCTCTTACAAAAATGTTACCGAATCGATTTGTCCAGATTCGATTAGCCCCCACTCGTCAGATCATTAATAGTAAACCAAAGAATTTGTATATAAACATGTAAAAGTAACACATAAAGCTCGCCATTAGTCGTCCGCGACATTGTCTTGTAGTAAAAAACGTTTAACAATATTTCCAAAATAAGCACGATCATATTTGAAAGTGGAATGAAATCATAAACCTTTTTATTCGCCACTTCTAAATTTTGCGCACGCATCGTTTTCTCGGCAGGTTCCACAATTTAGATTCGAAAATGAAATTGCATGTTAAAAAATTCTCTCCCGGAAATGTTCTCAGCCGCAGGTGCCGATTCCAATCAGATCACGCAACGAGAAGGTATCCAATTACCGCGAACAAAACGTATCGCAAACCGAGGCTGGGTGTTGAAGCCCGTGTTTGATTAATTGGCGCAACGCGAGATAATTCATAATTATGTTTAGAACCGAAACAATTAACCCACTCCGCGATAATAACAATAATTCCACTTTCAATTATTCATGAATTGCTCAGCGTAACCGTTGAGCGCTATCATTCGCTTCTATTAATCATCGACTGGGCCAAGATCTTCGAACGTTCGATTCCATGAAAAAAAAAAATGATAAAGTGGAAAGAAAGTGGAATCATCTGGGGGCGAAAGCACACGTTGCCGAGGTGTCGGGGAACATTTCGGTAAACTCGCGGCAGGTACTCGCCGTTACACTTCTCCCCTTTCCTTTCGACATTATCATTTTCATTTACATTTCCGGCGCCACTTGGCTCGCTCGTCTTTCCCTCGTTCTCATCCCTTTCGCTTTCGCGGCAAGAGACTTCGTTCTTCTCGTGTCTCGCCTTCTCCCGCCTCTCTCTCTCTCTCCCTCTCTTTTTTTCGGAGGGTAGTATCTCGATACAGGGCGAAAGCAGAGCGAGCTCTGGCGGTTCTGAGCTCCCAGGAGAGCGGCAGGAAATTGCACAGAGCACTCGAGCACTCGAGTCAAGGCGAGAATCCACCCCCGCGACTTACTCGTCGTTTCACGTCGTTAGACGGTAAAAGTGCGACGGGAATCAGAAATGAGCAGTCGCCTGGTCGGAACAATGAGTTCCCGTCGCTCCGCTGCGGGCATCCTGCTGCCTCCCTTGGACATCCATGCACCTGAATAACCTACCCTCTGTCCATTAATCGTGCGTAATGCATTTAGGGTTACAACCATGCATCGTTCACTAAGTGTATTTCGCGGTTTACGAAACGGTTTGTATCGTGTCAACGAAAATATTAACTATATTTTCTTGTAATTTCTGTAATTTCCTGTTTTTATTTTATATTCGTATTTTTTATCTCTTTTTATTATTTTTATTACTTTATTATTTCTATTATTTTTATTATTTTCATTATATTTATTATTTCTATCGTTCTCATTATATTTATTATTTTTATTATTTTTATTATCTCCACTATATTTATTATTTTTATTAAAACAATATCGCAATGTAAACGATGCGTAATATGCTTCACTATAACGTATGTACTTCCAATTGAATAACTCGTAGATTTATTAAAATGTCAAGTTTTACACAAATATTAACGATACGTGAAGTGCCTTAACTTTTGTCGGCGTGTATACATCAAGCGAACAGATTTAACAGTACATTTCATGCAATTGATAGTTCCTCGTACAGCAGGATTTCGAATCCGTGTACCAGAGAAGAACCACGCCGAATTAACGGAACACCTAAAAGCGAGAAGTATTACGTTCGACGGCGACCCGAATGAAGAATGTATATTGTCGTAAAATAACGAGAAATACGGGTCGGCGCGAGTGACATTGTGTTCCCGTTTGGCGAGCGGTACCGGGCCGGATTTTTAATCAGCTTTTATTATGCTAGTTCCCATCATCGTGCCAGATTTTACATTGAAATTTTCCATTTTTCAAACGGGAATTTTCAGCGGGCTCCGGTATCGAATTTCAACGCACCGACACGAGCAAGCCCTGGCCTCACCGACGCCAATTAACGTGACTTTGGCCGAATGATTGGACCGTGTCCCGGCTACGGACCGATGTGACCAGGCGGTTTTTCCAATCCACCTTGGAAAATTGCCGGATAACGCGCAGCGTTTCCAACCGGTACGTGATTTCCTCCAGCAATGAATTAGTGCATTCCACGTGCACCCTGCAGCTCCGTTCGTTTCGTCTACCTTGCCGATTTACCTACCGGTTAACGTGTTTTCTCTCAATTAGGGGGTTTTCTTTTGATCGCGGCATTACGTCCAGAAATGTTGATGTTATAACGATCTTTATAGGCATGATATTATATTCTGTGGAGAATGGTAAATATTATAATAACTTTTATTGCCACGATATTATAATTCTGTGGAGAATGGTAAATATTTTAACAATTTTAATAATCACAATATTATAATTATATGAAGAATAGTAAATATTATAACAACTTTTATAGCCACGATATTATAATTCTGTGGAGAATGGTAAATATTTTAACAATTTTAATAATCACAATATTATAATTATATGAAGAATAGTAAATATTATAACAACTTTTATAGCCACGATATTATAATTCT